AAACAAATGCTGTCATCTAAGTATTCTAGACTATCCAGCCCCAGGCCTGAAGAACCATCCAACCAAACCATTGAACATGAAAAATATTTACTTTGATTTTTCCAGGCAAAGTTTCTCTGTGTAACCTTGGCTGTCCAGAGCTTGCACTATTTAGATAAAGCCTACCTCAGCCTTCCAAATGCTAGGATTGAAAGTGGGTACCACCACTGTCTAGTTTAGTTCTTACTTTAACCCATTAAATTTGATGTGGTTTGTTATGGAACAAAAGCTATTTGATACAAAAATCTTTTGGATAACATTTCCTGACATAATTTTCTAGAAGTAGACCTTCTGGATACGACTGTGTACACACATTTACACCTTTCATAGTACAAAGAAAATACCAATTTATGGGATGGAGAGATGGTTCAGAGGTTAAGAGCACTGACTGCTCTTCCAGAGGTTCTGAGTTCAATTCCCAGCAACCACATGGTGGCTCACAACCATCTATAATGAGATCTGGTGCCCTCTTCTGGCTTGCAGGCATACATGTAGGCAGAACATGGTATACATGATAAATAAATAAAATCTTTTTAAAAAAGAAAAAGAAAATACCAATTTATAAGCTAACTGTAGTCTATGGAGGTAACTGTATTCCCCATCTTTGTCAATACTGACCATTAGTGTTTCTTATCATCACGTCCACACTGTCTTTGTAAATTTAAGAGTGTTGCCCTTTCTCCCTTCATTCAAATCAAAGAGAAGGAAGACTGAAGGTTGGTAATGGAAAGCCAGGCTTGGTATTTCTACTAAACCAAATACCCTGGACATTGAGGAAGATAGGAAGTTTGAGGACAGCCTAGACTCCCTCCTAAGACCCTGCTACAAACAAATAAATTAAAGGTACATAGGAAAGGAAGAACATAGAAAGGAGGAAAAAATAGAATAGGGAAAATGGATGATAAACACAAAGGGAAGGTAATAGAATTAGAGAATGTATTTTGTAATACATGAAACTTAAAAATATAAACAGGAGCAGTTATGGGCCTAGAAACTAACTTTGATCATGAAGGAGAAATCGAACAAAATATTCAGATCTTTTGAATCTGAGAACACTGTAAAAGTACTAGATTCTCGTGTGTGGGTGGTTGCATTTAGTTCTCTGAGATTGGGATGGTTGTTTTTGTTTTACAGGCAAGGACAATTTAGTGCTGTTCAGTAACTTGATAAAGATGTCAGCTAATAAGAAATGGAGCCTAGATTTGAGTCCAAGTTAATCTGGTTTCAAAACAGATGTTTCTTCTTAGAGGAGATATGGTAAAAGAAAGAATAGCAGTAGTACTGGAAAAACATGGCTTCCTTTTGATTTACATTTCCAATCTGCTTTTCTGAAAGGAGTCAGAAGCCCTGAATTTGGATCCTAGCTCAGCCAATTAGTAACTGTGTCACAAGGATGAATGACTCTGTATATGTAACATATCCAGAATAGTTACCTTAGTTACTGTGAAGAGAAGAGACAACTTGACCAATACAACTTACAGGAGAAAGTGTTTAATGAAAGCTTGCAGTTTCAGATGGCAACTCCATGACCATCATGGTGGGGAGCACAGCAGCAGGCAGGCAGGTGTGGTGCTGGAGCAGGAGCTGAGAGGTAGCTGAGAGAGTGCTAAGGTCAGTGGCATACCTCCTCCAACAAGCCTACACTTCCTACTCCTTCCCCAGCAATTCCACAAGTTGGAATGAACCAAGTATTCAAATATATGAACCTGTGGGAGCTATTTTCATTCAAATCAACACACCCTGAAGTGCTGTATATACTTTATGGTTTGGGTTTCACTTCCCTTTCTTTCAGATACTGGGGATTGAACCTAGGGCCTTAAGTGTGCTAACAAGAGCTCTACTACTGATGACCCCCAGTTATCTTTCTCCTTTTGATTTTGTGACAAGAGTCTTCCAAGTCATTCAGGGTGCCCAGGCAGGCCATAATAAATTTGTTTATCCTTCTGAGCTGCTGGGATTGCTGATATGTACCACCAGATCTGACTCATTTGTCTTCCTTCCTTCCCTCCTTCCTTCCTTTCTTCCTTCCTTCTTTCCTTCTTTCCTTTCCCCCTCTTCTTTTCCTTTTCTTTCTTAGGCAGGGTCTCATATATACTAGGCTGGCCTCAAACTCACTGTATAGCTGAGGATGACCTTGAACAAATGGTCTTTCGGCTTCTACCTTCCAAGCATATACCACCTCATCTGATTCCAAAGTACTGAGTGTTCTTTGATGCAGTTTTGGGAGGGAAGTAGAGAGGTGAGTGCTGTGATGCCGTATAGCCATGAGAGTGAGCATGAACAAGTCAAAGCCTTGTCCTAAGTAGATTGCTGCTTCAGACTGCAGTATGGAAAGATGTGAAAATGTGTTGCTTAGGAAACTCTTAACCAACCTAGTCTGCTCCACCATCAGAGAAATCGAACATGCTTCCTCCAGTCTAACTAGTCTTACGCTAGTTATAGGGCTGAAGTGATAATAATAATTAAATGCCAGGGCATGGTGGTGTGCACTTAGAATTCCAGGAGGCAGGGTTATCACTGCAAGTTGGAGACCAATCCTGGTTATATGAGACCCTGTCTCAAAATAAACAAATAAATAAAACCAGGCAAATTACTGGTGTGACTGGGGCAAGAATTGAAACTTTAGGGTCAGCTTGGACAATTTAGTGAGATTTTTTTCCCTTAAAACAATACTAGTAATAATATGTATCCCTGGCTGACCTGGAATTCAATATGTATTCTAGGCTGGCTTGAGTTCACATAGATCCACCTGCCTCTGCCTCTGGAGTGCTAGCATTAAAGGTGTGCGTCACTATACTCAGACAAAATCATCTTTGTTTTATACACCTCATCTCCCAAAACATTTTTTGAAATTTTATTTCATTTAAATTATTTATTTATTTATATCTTATGCATGGCTATTTTGCCTACATAGATGTCTGTGCATCACGTGCATGCAATGCCTGTGGAGGCCAGAAGGGGGCATTAGATCCCCTGGAACTCAGGTCCTTTAAAAAAGTGGCCAGTGCTCTTAACCAACGAGCTCAAAAAGACTCCTTTAAAAACCCCAAATAATCTGGAGGTAGATTACCTATTAGCAGATGCATGGCCCATGGTTTAATATCCAGTACCTAGAAAACCAGATTAAATCATAACACACTCTTCATGTGCCAATTACTTTACACACACTGTTTCATTTAATTCTACAACCCACTTTGAGGTAGATACTACTCTTCCACTTTACAGATGGGGAGACTGAGTCTGAATCCAGAACTGTTCATCCCAGTGGTAGTGCTGTGTTTTTGTTTTTGAGAACATGCAAATTGGGGGTGGAAAGGTGCCTGAGAAAGTATCCCGGCAGTTCTCAGCCAAATCTATTCACCATGTATCATTTCTCAGCCACAAGAAGTTTCACCTGAAATCACTTGCAGCAAGATGTCTGAGAATTGAAGTGGAAATCAATAAGTGATTCTCCACTGCCACTACTTACAGCATCCTCAGATCAAATTCCTGTGTTCTCTCTAAGGGGTTAGGGAGAGGAAGATGAGGTGACTCAGTGCCCCTGTTCCCTCCCTCGCACTGTAAAAAACATGAGGCAGTCCTTGGTGCAACAGACTGTCACACTCCCCTGCCTGTTTAAGGAGTGACAATATGGAAGGCAGATGGCAGATGCATGGATGCCACACTGTTGCGTTTCAGTTAAATATTGCTTGGTGTTATTTTTTTTTTTTTCTTGTAAACCTCCCAAATAAAATCGCTTGCCTTCCTGAGTTAGAAGTGTTAGCATGTCTTTTCTTTAAATATCTGTGCATGGCTGTTTTTTTCCCTGCCAATTTGTCACCATCTGTAACCCTCCCTTTATGAGACCGTCTGATGACAGCAATTATCTTGGAGAGTAAAAGTGCCATCTTGAAGCAATGTGTAAGGGTGACATTAGTGTGAGCTGTGTGTACAGTGCATGCTGCCCTAACTCTTGGAATGTGCTTGTGTATGTCCCCAACGACAGTGGGCTTTTGTATATATGCATTGTGAATCTTCAGTGTAGTGGCTTCTGAGTTTCTCGGTGTGCACTTGTGCTTGAAGTCTGTGTGCTGTTGTATATGTCCTGTGGACACTTGTGTAGGCGTGAACTGCCGGCGGCATCTATCTATATGTGCCCGCTGTAAAAAGACCCTGCAGAGAGACTAGTAGGTAAAAAGGCTCCTCACAAGGGCATGATTCCTCTATAGTGTTTAAAAGTGTTGGAGAAGGCCTGCAATTTGGAGAGTCCGGGTAAAGAATATTAGCAGGGAGGGATTGGGCCTCAACCAAAGGAAAACAAATTATGGGTGGCATGTCTAAGGGGCTCTCAGGCTTGATAGAGAGCAGCAGTTGCGGAACGCAATATCCTTGCTATCGGTCTGGGCGCTGATGCTGGCGGGGAGCCACGAGCGTTCCGCCCCTCCCCCTCGCTCCCACCCCCGGGCGCGCCGCTGGGTGAGGGAGACTTGGGAAAGCCGGGGCTGCCGTGGCCAAGCCAGGGGCTGCAGAATTGGCTGTGATGGAAGGCCTCGCCAGAGCTCAGCGGGTGGCCTGGACCGTAGTTCCTGGGCGGGTCAACCTCGCCCAGCCCTAAGGCGCGGCCGGGCCCTGCTCCACACCACCATGAACGTTGCGCTGCACGAGCTGGGTGGCGGAGGCAGCGTGAGTGGTGGCCTTGGGCTCCTGGGGAGAGGACCCATGGGAAGAGGGCACGAAGTGTGGAGGGGCGGGTGTGAGTGAGCTGGCGGCCTCTGGCAGGGACTCCGACTTGCGGAAATGGGGGCTTCTTATGCGGGCTAGAGAGGAATGGTGTCAGGGGAGCCCAGCTGGAGAGCTGGGCACCTGGGAAGGACCCTCTCTGTAGGTAGGAGGAAGCTGGCCCAGCGAGGGGCACCCGGGCAGGGCCTTGAGCAAACGGCCCAGCTGCCTGACCTCAGTTGTCGCTCCTGAACTGTTTGCAGATGGACTACAAACGAGCTAAGCTTCGAGATGAAGAAGCACCGGAGACTCCAATAGGAGGCAGGGCCACCCCGGACTCACTGGAGGTAGGCCAGGGGGTTCCCTCTTTCTCCTCAGGCCTCACCCTTGGCATGATGCCTGCCATAACCTCTTCTGGTGGGTCGCCTACCCCGGTTTCCGCTCCATCTCTGGCTTCTGCACCAGGACTAGGGTGAGGAGATTCAAAGCCATGACGTTGCACAAATAGGCTCCTCTGCCCCTTTGCTCTTGGGCCCCGACATTAACCCCACTAGACTGTAGAAACAGGCTGTGCCTTCATCCCTTTATTTGCTAGGAGGGCTTCTGTGATCCCGGGTCCCTGCAATGCAGCTGCTCAATTGCACCCTGTCCTGTGTTCCCCAGGTGGGGTTCCAGAAGAGGACAAGACGACTCTTTGGTTCACACACACAGCTGGAGCTGGTCTTGGCAGGCCTCTCTCTAGTGCTGGCTGCCCTTCTTTTGGGCTGCCTCGTGGCTCTGTGGGTCCAGTACCACAGAGGTAGGTGGGTCCACACCTGTCAGGAATCCTCTTAGCTGTGGGGGTTAGAAATGGAAGGGCCTCTAAACATTTTCCCAACTTCCTGATGTCATTGCCTTCTCAAAAGGTTTTCTTCTTCCATCCTGATTGACAGTCTCCAACCTTCCACTGTGTCTCCCTCTGCAGACCCAGCCCATAGCACTTGCCTCACAGAAGCCTGCATTCGTGTGGCTGGAAAAATTCTAGAATCTCTGGACCGTGAGGTGAGCCCATGTCAGGACTTTTATCAGTTCTCCTGTGGAGGCTGGATTAGAAGAAACCCTTTGCCCAATGGGCGTTCTCGATGGAATACCTTTAACAGCCTCTGGGACCAGAACCAGGCCATACTGAAGCACCTACTTGGTGAGTGATGGCTTTAGGAATGCTGTGCCCATCTTAGGCTTCACATCTAGCACATGGTCAAGCACTTGTTGGGTACTCAATAAATATCCACGAGTGAAGAACTACACAGATTACTCTGTGATGCTACTGAGGGAGACTATGCAGAGAGCAGGAGCTCTTGATAAGCAGAGCTGGGTTAGACAAGGCAGGCCTCTAAGAATAACAGGCTTCTGTGAGGGTTTCCACAAGCACAGGAGGGAGAAAGCCCCAACTGCTCTTTCGGTCTCCATTGGTGGTGCACACCTTTAATCCCAGTACTAGAGGCAGAGGTGAGTGGATCTCTATGAATTCTAGGTCAGCCTGGTGGATAGAGTGAGTTCCAGGACAGCCAGGGTTACTACATAGTGAGACCCTGTTTCAAAATCCCTGTACTCGGGAAGCAGGTGAATCTCTGTAAGTTTGAGGCTAGTGTGGTGTAGTAAGTTCCAGGCCAACCAGGAGTATATAGTGAGACTACTTCGGGGGGGGGGGGGGGGGAGAAGAAGAAGCTGTCTTGCTAATGTATGCCAATAATTCCATTTACTGAGGCAGGAGGATTGGAAGGTCAAGGCCAGCCTGGACAACTTATTAAGAGCTTATTTTTGACTTTACCAAAAGTAGAAAGAGAACTGGGATTATAGCTCAGTGGGAGGGTACTTGTCTAGCATGTGAAAGGTCCTAAATTCAGTCCCCAGTACCACAAAATACACACACACACACACACACACACACACACACACACGAGCAAAGAGGAATGAAGGCCAAAGGCTCCTCTGCAGAAGTTAATCTAACTCCCTGGACCCAACTCTGTTTTCTGCCCATTGCAGAGAATACCACTTTCAATTCCAGCAGTGAAGCTGAGTGGAAAACACGGCGCTTCTACCTGTCCTGCTTACAGCTGGAGCGCATTGAGAAGCTAGGAGCCCAGCCACTTCGAGACCTCATTGACAAGGCAGGGGCACTGGGTGGGCTTGGGGCAAGAGGAGTGAGTAGTGGGGACAGAATTCAGTCCAAGGAAGCTTTGAGAATCCCTGGACCAGAGATGTCACTTATGATCTCTCCCTAGATCGGTGGTTGGAACATCACAGGGCCTTGGGATGAGGACAACTTCATGGAGGTGCTAAAGGCGGTAGCAGGGACTTATAGAGCCACTCCATTCTTCACCATCTACGTCAGTGCTGATTCTAAAAGTTCCAACAGCAATGTCATCCAGGTGCCTGGCTGGGAAAGGGTAGGGACTCATGGAACCTTTGCCAAGTGAGCAGATTCCCCTCTTCCTGACAGGCAGGCTGAATACCTTTCTCCCTTCCCCATGCACAGGAGTCTTGGGCTTCAGTGGGAAAGACTAACCTTTACTTGTTGTCATTGCAGGTGGACCAGGCTGGGCTTTTCCTGCCCTCTCGAGATTACTACCTAAATAGAACTGCCAATGAGAAAGTAAGGCACATCCTAGAACTGTTGTCCCTGTCCTTTGCAGAGATGGCTAATCCCTATAACATTTACTCTTTGCCTAGGGTCAGAGTGGGAAGGTGAGCCTGTTGTGCTGCCCAGCAAACAGGCTGTCCTTTATTCTTTCCCTGATTCTCTTCTTCCTTCTCCTCTTTCCTCCATTCCTTTCTTCCTATTATTTCTATCAGGAAAAAATCTTTTCTTTCTTTTTGTGGTCCTGGGAATCAAACCCAGGGCCTCGTACATGCTAGGCAAGCATTCTATCATTGAGCCCTGGGAAGACTTTCATGTGTATTTTCTGTATGCCGGATGCTCTGAAGCATTTCTGAGATGTAAGGTTTAGAGTCACAGGAAGTTCTTGGTATCAATAGGCTTGTGGATCTAAGTGTCTGAGAACAACACTCAAATGGTCTCTAGACCTTAGTGAGGTCACATTTGAGTTGGGCCCTATAAAAGCAAAGAGGTGGGCAACACCGTGGCTAAGCAGGTAAAGGCACTTGCTGCCAAGCTTGATGACCTGAATCAAATCCCTAGGACACATGAGGAAAGGAAAGAACTGTCAAGATTTCCTTTGACCTCTGCACACATGCAAACACACCACAGAGAGAGAGAGAGAGAGAGAGAGAGAGAGAGAGAGAGAGAGAGAGCTCTTTTGCTGTTGTAACTGGTCTCTCTGAGGCTGGTCACTCATCTGTAAATAGGGAAGCATTGGTTTGAGGTGCGGCAGTCTTCCAGTGTAAAGCTGATAGTTCAGGGAGTCTCTCAATCTAGACAGGTGAGTTTGGGAAACGTGGGCACCTTCTGTGTGAGAGGTCAGTAGGCAGTGACAGAAGTTGATGAAGTGCTGGAGAGGACAGTGTGAAAGGAGCCAGAAGCCTAGGGCTCCTCCTTTAACAGACAAGGTGTGGGAGAGGTGGGAGAGAGGAGAGATGTTTGGGTGTCCAGGGCAGTGGAAGAAAGAGCATCTTGCTGAGTAACCCACTGGAGAGCCCTGTGTCCTTCTGCTTTCTGCCATGCCTTCATTAACATTGCCCGGACTTCTCAGCCAGACCCTCCTCTAGGCAAGGGTGCCTAAGATTGCTGCTGTTCCCTCAGTGGTGGAGATGATATGAAGCATCTTGTGATACAGTTCCAATTACAGTCATTGGGAGACAACCACAGAGGACAAACAGGACGTTGCAATTTGTGTCCAGCTGGGAACTAGCTGACTGAGGGTGAGGGTAGGCTAAACTGAGGAAGAGGGGGTGCACAGAGAAAGCAGCTCAGACAGGCTCTGAGGAAGGAAGGTGAATGGCCTGTTGGCAGACTGAAGGAGACAGGAAATGAAATAGGGGAAGTTGACCCAGTCCTTCTGGACAGGTATTTAGAATTTAGGCACTTTTTTTTTTTTTTTGAGATGGGGTCTTATAATGTATCTCAGGCTGGTCTTAACCCCTGGACTTTAGTGATTTTTATTGCCCCAGCCTCCAGTGCTAGGACTATATACACACATTACATTACCAGAGCTGACAAGTTTAGGCTTCGTCCCAAAAGAAGGGAATTGGGCTCCTGGAGAGATGGCCTAGCAGGTACATGTTTTGATTCCCAGTCCCACAAGGTGGCATAAGACAACCAAGTCTCAAGAGCTGTCCTCTCTCTCACATGAGTGGCAGGCCATGCCTACATACATGCTTATATGCGTATGTGTTATGTGCAGGAGAATGAAAGGAAGAAACATTGCCCATTGCTTTGGGGAAAGCCTTGTATTTGATTCTCATTGCATCACTGGCCTCCTTAGGCAGGAAGTCCCTTGCCATAATGTAGGGGAAGAGGTAGTGCAGTGGCTAAGACAGGACGAAGACTAGGGGTGTGGAGGATTGAAGGCTCTGAGTTAAGTTTTAAGCTGAGGACAAGGAGTTAGGGAAAGTTACATGTGCCAGGTCCTTATCTGGGTTAACTATCTCCCTTAGAAGCTAGAATAGGTGAAAGATTGATATCTTCCACACCAGCAGCAATAAAGAGAGTGGGGAAAAGGAGGAATTTTGTAGTATAAAGAATGAGTATCACCAGGTAGTGGTGGCACACACCTTTAATCCCAGCACTTGGGAGGCAGAAGCAGGTGGATCTCTGTGAGTTTGAGGCCAGCCTGGTCTACAGAGTGAGTCCCAGGACAGCCAGGCTACACAGTGAAACCCTGTCTCCAAAAGTTGAAACGGTCAGGCAGAGGTGGTGCATGCCTTTGATCCCAGCACTTGGGAGGCAGGTGGATCTCTGTGAGTTTGAGACCTGGTCTACAAGAGCTAGTTCATGACAGGCTCCAAAGCCACAGAGAAACCCTGTCTTGAAAAACAAAACCAAACAAACAAACAAAAAAGGCAAAACAACAATAACAACAAAAGAATGAATATCAAGGGATCAAAAATTTTTCAATGAAGAAAAGAGATGGCCTTTAGCATTAAGTGAGCCCTGAGTGGGACTTCAAGTCAGGAGTGGTCTGTGCTTGTAATTCTAGTCCTTGAAAGCTAAAGTAGGAGAATTGTAAGTTCAAAACCACTCTGGGCTATACAGTGAGACACTGTCTTCAAAAGAGCAGGCACAGAGGTTGTTGCTGACAGAGCTGATGATCTATCTGTATGTGATTTTCCTTTTCTGTAACACTCAGTGATTACCTATCATAGGGAAGACATTGTATTTGCACCCAAGATTCCAGTGTTGAACAAAGCAAATAGACCTTGTTCTGATGGTACCGCCTGAGTTCGTGCTGGGCCCAGGCAGTGCTCAGGTTTCCACCATATTCTGACAGGAGTCCTTACCTCATCACCTCAAGCCTGCTTCCTCTATGGGAATTGGAAATAATACAGATTTTATGGAGTTGTGAGGGTGTGGGGCAAGGTACATTATACGTAAATCCCTAAGTCATCTGGTCAGTGGATACATAATAGTCAGTATAAATATTTCTTCTCTGTACTTTTACTTTCCCCTGGATACAAGGGAGGGTGAGAAAAGCACATGTGAGGCATGTTAGGATGAGAGGTAGAGAAGAGTAGCTGTAAAAGTACATAGCCCTGATGGACTGGGGCAATTAGAAGGGCGTTAGGAAGTGAAAAGGCAAAGGACTATGGGAGTCCATCCATTGGGTAAATATTTACAGGGGGCCACTTCTGTGCTTGGCACTAATCCAGACTCTTCGGATTTAGTGGTGAACAGCTGACAAAATTTAAACAGTGTCCACTGAGGGAAATAGATGATAAATGCACAGGTAATTAAGCAAGTCAGAGCAGACAGTGGCAGCAACGGACCAGAAATTAAACAGAGAGACTTTCATAAAGCCAAAGAAATGGTGGAAAGAAGCGAGGGCCAGAGCACAACTTAGTCTTGGGCTGGGCTTGTTACTGGCTTTGAGGATGCTCGGGGCCTTCACAGGTGCTTACAGCCTACCTGGACTACATGGAGGAGCTGGGAATACTGCTGGGTGGCCAGCCTGCCTCTACCCGGGAGCAGATGCAGCAAGTCCTGGAGCTGGAGACACAACTGGCTAACATCACTGTGCCCCAGGACCAGCGGCGTGATGAGGAAAAGATATATCACAAGATGAGCATCTCAGAGCTGCAGGTGGGGCAGGCAGGGAACTAGAGACATTAGCAAGAGGTTAGCTCTTAATACAGACCACCCTCTTCCCTTATCTTCCTGGGGCAGCCAGTCCTTTCCCTATTCCCTGCTTTTGTGAGCGGTCCAGTTGTATCTCTCTATACTGGAAAGAAAAATGGTCAACATTTCAAGCCACCTTCCTCAAGGCCATTCTTTAGTCTTCTTGTTGTTGCCTTGGACTATATAAAGGGATTGTGTTTAAAATGTTTAGCCAGGCATGGTCATTAACATCTGTAACCCCAAATATTGGGAGACTGAGTCAGGAGGAGGATTTCTGTGAGTTCCAGGCCAACCTGGGCTACAATGTGAGACCCTGCCTCAAGCAAGCAAGCAAACAGAATAACAAATTGATGAATTATCTACAAAATAATCAGAATGTGTAAGGAAGTATCTCCTAATGCCCTCTCCTGTGCCAGCCCTTTTGGTGTTGAATTATGTAAAGACTAGGAAAAAGGAGATTCTAGAGAGAAGCCAGGTATGTGGCGTGTGTCGAGAAAGTCCTGTTTTATCAACTTTCATGAAAATATTTGAATTTCTATGCCTAAGCTGAATATCACACATAGTGGCTTTCCTTGTATAATAAGTGTTTCAGCTCCCAAACTGCAGGGCATTCAGACCTGGAAAAGCATTTGACACAAGAAGGGGGTCCCCGAGCAGCCAGTAACTGTTACTATGGCAATGGGAAAGATGCCCAGGCTGTAGCAAATCAGTGGGGGAAAGAGTCTGTTGGGAGCCCAGTGGGAAGGCAGGGAAGCCTGAAGAGTTTCTGCTTTCAGACTCTAGCACCCTCCATGGACTGGCTGGAGTTCCTTTCTTTCTTGTTGTCACCACTGGAGTTGGGTGACTCTGAGCCTGTGGTGGTGTATGGGCTTGAGTATTTACAACAGGTGTCGGCGCTCATCAACCGTACAGAACCAAGGTGTGACTGGGGAATGGGAGTGGTGTCGGGGTGGGGGTGGGGTGCTGGTCGTGGTGGGGACTCTGGGCTCTGGAGATTCCTGGAAGGATCAACCACAGTGAATTGGCACACAGACTGAGTGATAAGACCCTGAGCCTTCCAAACTTCAGATCAGAATGCCTGTGGACTCTTCCCCTGGGCAGTGCCAGGCGATCCCTCTGTGACCTCTATTCCCTCACCTTGCTCCTAGCTGATTTTTGTGGGCACTTGTGTCCCAGAGTAAGTCTTCAGGACCCCTTCCCACACACCTCTCAGGACTCCTGTAGCCTGCATGGTCCTGGGGATGGGTTGGGGAGGGGAAAGGTTTCCCCACATGTCTTTCCTTTATTTTCTGCTATGGAAATAGCATCCTGAACAATTATCTAATTTGGAACCTGGTGCAGAAGACAACTTCGAGCCTTGACCAACGCTTTGAGTATGCACAGGAGAAGTTACTGGAGACCCTCTATGGCACCAAGAAGGTGGGCTCTCTGACTTTGCTTCCTTTCTGAACAAACCTAGCTACTGCACTGTCCACAGTGTGTCTGGAATATTTTCTCCATGGTACAGAGTTCAGAATCAAGAGGTCATAATTTCCAATCTTGGCTCCTTCATATTTTAGCCTGTCGAACCTTGGGGATGTGAGCAATGGCTCCATTTCTGCATTTGTAACAGGAATGTATTTCAAGGCTGGCTCAAGTTAATGTTGGTGTGTGTTGTATGTGCGTGTTCAGCTTTGATGTTGACGATGGAGATGACCAAGTGCTGTTCTTCATTTTGGGGCCTTGTTAAGTATAGAGAGTAAAACTGCAAACAAATGTGTGTAGTTTGAGAGTATTAGTTGTTCACAATGAGTGAAGTTGGGACAGGTACACTATGTGGGAAGCAAAGAGAGAGGTAACAGGAAAATTTTCTCAGAAGATGCCATGTGTGGAATAAGATCCTGAGAAAGCAGGGAAGAAGGGCATTCTGGGCATAAGGAACACACATGCACATTCAGAGGCCTGGCAGGAACTTGAGAACAAGGCTGCAGACTGTTTGGTAAGGTGGGCAAGTGACCTCTGTGCAAGGTGGTGGTAGTGCATTCCTGTAATCCCAGCACTTGGGAGGCAGAGGCAGGCTAATCTCTGTGAGTTCAAGGCCAGCCTGGTCTTGAGCAAGTTCTAGGACAGTCAGAGCTGTTACACAGAGCAACTGTCTTGAAAATTATAACAAGACAAAAACAACAAGAGAAGACTGACTATGATGATAGTGCTTTAGCACAGGAAAATACACAAGATATGATGAGAGTGAACTAGTAATGAGGAGCGACAGACTGGATCGGGAGGGAGGCAATAGAGGAAGCTGGAATGAAGATCAGAAAGACTGAATTGTAGAACTGAGAAAAGAAACTTCTAAACTTAGGCCAGCAAGAAGGCTCAGAACAGCTGGGCGGTGGGGTTGTACACCTTTAATCCTAGCACTAGGGAGGTAGAGGTAGGTGGATCTCTGTGAGTTCAAGGCCAGCCTGGTCTATAGACCAAGTTCCAGGACAGCCAGGGCCACATAAAGAAACCCTATCTCAAAAAAAAAAAAAAAAAAAAAAAAAAAAAAGATGGCTCAGAACAGCTGGTAAAGACATTTTGGACACCAAGCCTGATGACCTGAGTTTGATTCCCAAGTCCCACATGGAGGCTTCTGACCTCCACACTCGGACCATGGTAGGCCAGAGTGTTCCCCACCCCTGAAAAGTAAACATAATAATAAAAAAAAAGGTCTATAGTCCGAGGGAGACTATTGGGTACACATAGCAGGACTGAGAACTGGGAATGAAGTGAGTGGGACACCTAGTTCTTCTCTGCTGAAGCTTTGCTTCTGGGTCGTCGTAGTTTGAGATATCACCTTACCTGTCTCTGGAGTCTGAAGGAGAGATGGCACCCTAAGCCCAGGAGTCTGCTCCCAGTGGAGAGGCTTAGCCCCAGAGAGGGAGAGAGGTCTTCAGACCAGAGGTCAGTGCTCTCTCTGGGGACCCTGCTCTTTGTCCCTACAGTCCTGTACACCAAGATGGCAGACCTGCATCTCCAATACAGATGATGCCCTTGGCTTCGCTCTGGGTTCACTCTTCGTGAAGGCCACATTTGACCGACAAAGCAAGGAAATTGTGAGTCTTCGGGCTTCTAAAACAATCCTTTGATCTGTTTATATATCTACTGGTATATATGTGTATGCATAGAAAGACTGGGAAGGGAGTTCATTAAACAGCAAATTGGGTGGTGGGATTATGAGGCCTTGGGTTTCTTAAAGTTTTCTGTAATTATACAAATTCTTTTTTTTTTTTAGACAGGGTTTCTTTTTGTAGTCCTGGCCATCCTGGAACTCGATTTGTAGACCAGGTTGGCCTCAAACTAAGAGATCCACCTGCCTCTGCCTCCCCAGTGCTAGGATCAAAGGGGTGCACCATCACCAGGCTTATACAAGTTCTTATACTGGGTTTATGTTACCTATATGATTATCAAAAATAATACTAAGAGTAATAATAGGTATGCTTAAGTATTAGATGTTTATGGGAGAGTTGTTTATAAGAAGAAATGAAACAAGCATGAAAGGAAAATAAATAATAGAATGGACTATGATTCCACTTTAATTTTTTAATTAATTTATTTTTATTTTATGCGAATTGATGTTTTACCTGAATGTATGTCTATGTGAGGTGAGACAGTTGTGAGCTGCCATGTATGTACTGGGAATTGAACCTGGGTCCTCTGGATGAGTAGCCAGTGTTCCCAACCACTGAGCCATCTCTCCAGCCCCATGATTCTACTTTTAAACTGAAGATAAATTTCTTACTTATTTAAAAAAAATTTTTTTTTGGTTTTCCAAGACAGGAAAACCTGGCTGTACTGAAACTCGCTCTGGAGACCAGGCTGACCTTGAACTCTGAAATCTTCCTGTATCTGCCTCTAAAGTTCTAGGATTCAAGGCATGTCCCACCACTGCCCAGCTGGAATTTAGTTTTTTAAATTAAACAACTATGCCTGGCTTTAATTTTTAGCTTAAAAAAAGAAACTGGTGGTGCCAGCATTGCATCCGGAGCCCTTAACATGTTTGACAAGTTTGTTACTCCCAAGCAAGAAACCCAACCATGAGCTGAGACTGGCCTACTATCCTCTATTGTAGACCAGGCTGGCCTCAGACTTGTGGCCCTTGATGGTCCTTCTGCCTCTGCCTTCCATACCTGGTGGAGTGATACATTTTTAAGCAGGACAAAAGTAGATTGCAAAAATATATACATGTTGCATAACATAGCTCCATATTTTGTAAGACTTTCTGGGCCAGGAAAAAACACTAGGAATAGCCAGACTACTAAAAGAAGATAGCTGTGTGAAGAGATTACAAATGTTTGGTTTTCTTCAATTTTCAATTGTGCAAATTCTGTTCATGCATGTCTTTCTGTGTAGTATATGAAGCTATAATATTAATGCACTTAACTGCCAATTCAAATGTTTATATTTAATTAATTAGAAAAAAGCCACCCACAATAACACTACTGTCACCTGTGGTGCATCTCACCCTGCTAGACAGCCTTTCTTCAGGAGTCTTCATAATCCCATGATTCTAGGATAGACTCCGATGGTGCCTGAGGATGGATTGGGGGGAGTAGAGAGGCAATAAGTACAGGGGGAGGCTGACTTGTGACCCTCCCTCCCAGGCCGAGGGGATGATCAGTGAAATCCGGTCTGCTTTTGAGGAGACCCTGGCAGAGCTGGTTTGGATGGACGAGAAGACCCGGCTGGCAGCCAAGGAGAAAGTGAGCCATGCTGTGTATGGGGCGCCATCTTGAGGTGATAATAGAGAATACAGTTTTTCTGCACACAGGGAGGGAAATCCTTAATATAGTCTCTTCAGGCAGATGCCATCTATGATATGATCGGTTTCCCTGACTTCATCTTGGAGGCCAAAGAGCTGGATGATATTTATGATGGGGTGAGTACCCCTTTACACAGCACTAACCTTCAGAATCATGGGCCATTATTCCCCAGCCTCAGTAATCGAAGTTCAAGCTCGCCTCTGTAGAGTAGACACAAGCAATTAGATTGTTTAAGTATGGGTTCTGTGCCAGACATGGGACAGATGGCAGTAAAATATAGCATTACTGAGTGTAGGGATTTGGAGTGCAGACTAACTTGATCATGTTCCTACTCTGGCTAAGTTTGGACAGGATGACTTTGAACCTCAGTTTCATCTGTAAAATGGGGCTTTAACAGTACTCAACTCACAGGATGATAAGAATAAAAGAAATGTATGTTTAAAAAATGACCTGGGGTGGGGAGGGGCTGGAGAGACGGCTCAGGGATTAAGAGCACTGCCTGCTTTTCCAGAGGTCCTGAATTCAATTTCCAGAAACCACATTGAATCACAATCATCAATAATGAAATTTGGTGCCCTCTTCTGGCTTGCAGGCATACATGCAGGTAGAACACTGTATATGTGATGAAGAAATCTAAATAAATCTTAAAACAACAAAAAATGTCAGACAGCGGTGCTGCACACCCTAAATCCCAGAGGCAGGTGAATCTGAGTTTGAAGCCAGCCTGATCTATACAGCAAGTTCCAAGACAGACAGGGCTACACAGAGAAACCCTGTAAGGGGGTTTGAGGGGGTGGCCCATGCTTTTAATCCCACAGCACTTAGGAAGTAGAGGCAGGTAGATCTCTGTGAATTCAAGGCCAGCCTAGTCCTCATAGTAAATACTAACAGTGAGACTCTTCCTCAATTTTTTTTAAAGCAACAAAAATCCAAAACAACACTTGAAGTATAAGTACCTTTAAAATGTTGTCAATTGGCTGTTTACTTCCATTTTACAGTGAAGGAGACTGAGGTTTGCTTGCAAAGGTCCTCTGGAGCTCTCACCTTCTCCAACATGTCTCTTGCTTTTTCCTCCCACTATTCCCATAGTATGAAGTCTCTGAAGATTCTTTTTTCCAAAACATGTTGAATCTGTACAACTTCTCTGCTAAGGTGATGGCTGACCAGCTCCGCAAACCTCCCAGCCGAGACCAGTGAGAATGGAGGGGCAGACAAGGGGCAGCCAGAGAGGTAGACCAGGGTTTCGGGGGTGGGGTGAGGAGTGGTCCAATGCCCTTGCAGGAGGCAGGCAGGGCAGGCCTGAGCTGGGGAGCATGAAGAGAGTAAGGAACCCCAGCCTGCATCTTCCTCCCCCAGGTGGAGCATGACGCCACAGACGGTGAATGCTTACTACCTTCCAACGAAGAATGAAATTGTCTTCCCTGCTGGCATCTTGCAGGCCCCCTTCTATGCTCACAACCACCCAAAGTGTGTCTGAGGCAGGAGGGTCTGGGTGGGGGGGGGGGCTGGCCACGCAGGTGAAACAGGAGAAGAGATGGAATCAGGAGAAACTCTTGCCATGGTTTTATTCTGCATTCCTCATCTACTAGGGCCTTGAACTTTGGTGGCATCGGCGTGGTGATGGGCCATGAGTTGACACATGCCTTTGATGATCAAGGTGGGGGTCCGGTCTATAATTTCCAGTTATTATTGCAGGGATTTGGGATGTTGGGGACAAGGCCTAGGAACCCTGGTGTCTCCTGATCCAGGTTGGTTGGGGTATTTGTTGTCCTATTGATGGGATGCAAAGGTGATTTCTTGTCAGGGCGTGAGTATGACAAAGAAGGAAATCTGCGTCCTTGGTGGCAGAATGAGTCACTGACAGCTTTCCAGAATCATACAGCCTGCATGGAAGAACAGTACAACAAGTACCAGGTCAACGGAGAGAGGCTCAATGGACTCCAGACACTGGGGGAAAACATCGCAGACAACGGAGGTCTTAAGGCCGCTTATAATGTGAGTGGCCCAGGTCTCCCGGGCTGTGTATTAGGGTGCTTGGTGAAGTAGGCAGGCGCTGGCGGACTTGCTTCTTATTGTTCCCCTAGGCTTACAAAGCATGGTTGAGGACACATGGGGAGGAGCAGCAGCTGCCTGCTGTGGGGCTCACCAATCACCAGCTGTTCTTTGTGGGATTTGCTCAGGTATGGCCCCTCGGGAGAACTAGGTGTGTCTCCTGTCCACTCCCTCCAAAGGATGCCATTAGGAAAAGTTGGGGTCATGAAGGAAAGGTGCTGGGAAACAGGGCCACAGCTGCCAGATGGGAAATACATTGAGAGACAGCCTGTTGTCCAGAGCCCACGCAAGTAGCCTGAAGAGTGAAATCTTCAGTGGGATTTTATTTGAAAGGGAAGGGCTGCTGGCTTTAGTGGAGTGCATAGGAAGCATAGATCCCTTCCTGTTACTGTGGGGGAATATGGAGAAAGAGACTGTAGCTTGGGATTCAAAACGGCTTGTTCATGATTACCTAGGGATAAAATAAGTAGAGTTAGTACCCAGGCAGGGCCTCTTTCAAGTACTTTGCACCACAGCAAACAATCTTAAAGCCTTAAAACCTTCCCCCATAGCCACACCCGATATGTGGTGTGCAGATGCTCTTTAGAAACTTCAAGGAACTGAGGAGGCATGTCCCACTCCCTTGGAGCTGGCCAAGCCTCCTGCAGTGGCCCTGACAATTCCTGAGCTCACTCACCAGCTGGACCAAGATGGCTCTGCTGTAGCTGAAGCTATGGCCTAATTCAGCTCCACACTAGACACCATATGTCCCCATGTCTGTCCTGGCCCGCAGGTGTGGTGCTCGGTCCGCACACCAGAGAGCTCTCACGAGGGGCTGGTGACCGATCCCCACAGCCCTGCCCGTTTCCGAGTGCTGGGCACTCTCTCCAACTCCCGTGACTTCCTTCGGCACTTCGGCTGCCCTGTCGGCTCCCCCATGAACCCAGGGCAGCTGTGTGAGGTGTGGTAGACCTGTGTTGGGAGAGAAATGGGATTGAGGCCTCCGAGTTAGGAGAAAGTAAAGATCAGCTGGTACGGTTGTCTCTCCACATCACTAGTGACATGAATCTAGTCCCCACCACATCGTGCCTCTGCTTTGGGGGTGCCTGTGCCTCTAGCAGAGATCCTGCCATTCACTGTGACATCCTTTCATATGTCACCCTGGAGGAAGTCTAGGCAGAAGTACCAGTTCCTACAGAGAGGATTCTGTCTCTTTTGACTTCTTCAAGCTTACTCAATTTGGGGGCCAAGAGGATATGCCTGGGGCATGCCCATCTCTCCCCAGGCAAACTCAGTACTGTATGGAAGAGTTCAGCTCCCTTCATCCCCCACCCGCAGCTTCCCCCACCTATCCCTTTGTGCTCCTTCTAGTACTACTGCTACCCGCAAGGCCAGAACAACTGAACTTTGAGTGGAAGGCCAAGGGCTCTCTCCAGTGAGAGGAGAATGTGGAGAATGTAAATGTATAGTTTGTGCTTGTTCCCTGTGTTTCAGGGTGTGAGTCTTAGGGATGGCTGACTGTCGCTGGGCCAAAAAAAGCAGATCTAGTAGAGAAAAGGAAAGAGTTTATTTTTGCAGGGAAAAGGGTGGGGAGGGTGTGGTCTTGGCTTTATAGGACTCTTTGCCAATAAATAGATCCATATCAGTTAGCCGGTCTCTTCCTTCAGTCCTCTTTCCTTATTTACCTTCTCATCCGATCAATATTTGAGCAACTACAACTTAGTTAGGGTTTCTACTGCTGTGGAGAGACACCATTACCACAGCAACTCCTATAAGGAGAACATTTAATTGGGGTGTCTTACAGTTTCAGAGGTTTAGTCCATTGTCATCATGCATGCAGGCAGACATGGTGCTGGAGAAGGAGCTGAGAATCCTACATCTTAATCCAAAGGCAACAGGAAATGAAACGGAGACACTGGGAGTGGCTTGAGCATATATGAAACTTTGAAGCCCACTCCCACAGTGACACACTTCATCCAAAAAGGCCACATCTGTAGGGAGCAGTCTTTGCAGGGCTGCAATCAGAGCCAGCCGAGCAGCCCCAAGTTCATACTTGAGTGGGGGAGTGTGGATGAGGGAAAGGCTAGCTATAGATAAAAAAGACAGACAGTCAGGAGGGCAGATCAGTCAGTACTGAAATGCCACCAGTTTATTTTCCACCACTCTTATATAACATAACTAAAAAGTGGAACACAGTATCATGTATATGCAACAAACAGATTTTTCTTCCTCACTCATTCCAAGGATTCAATAACCACACCTTAGCTCTAAACTTTTTGTTCCCTAGCCTTGAGGTCAAGAGTAGCCATACCTCAGATTTAACTTCTTCCTTAGCCTTAACAGTCTGGAGTAGCCACACCTCAGATTCAGGTCTGTTGTTATTTAGACTAAGATGTCCGAAACGTCCTTCTGTAGCCACACCTTTGACATTTAGGTCTTGTGACTTGCTGACAGCTTTGAACTCTCTGTCCTTTGTGCAGCCATCTTTATGGGAACCCCCACACACCTCCTAATAGTGCCACTCCAGGGAGGGGTGGAACTACATCATCTGTAACTACCATGACAGTAGTAATTCTTAGAAACTGGCTCACTTGCAGAAATAGGGGACTGAGATTTGAAGCCCAAAGGAGACGAAGGTGGAGGGAGGAACCCAGCTGGTCTGTGCAGTCATGGTACATTCTCCACAGTTGGAAAGGTTTGCAGCTCCCCACTTCCTCTGTATCCAGCCTGTTACTGAATCCAGGGATTAGATGTTCAGGTCATCTTGGTTTTTGTGTTTTTGAGACAGGGTCTCACTATATAGCCCTGGCTGCCCTGGATCTCACTACATAGATCAGGTTAACTTTGAACTCAAAGATCTACCTGCCTCTGCCTCCATAACTGCTGGAGTTAAAAGTGTTTGCCATCACTTCCAACTTGTACTGTTCTTTAGATTTACTTTTGAATGATATATTGGTTACCAGTAATGTGTGTCTCAGGCACAGGGGATGCAATGGTCTCTGTCCTTTGGGGACTCCAGTTACTCATTTTTACCCTCACAAGCTCATCCAGTCCCCACAGCCACAGTAATTCTACCAATGCTCTGCTTCCATGATGCAAATGTAATCCTAACCACTTTACTGGAGCCAAAGAAATCCGGATTGAAACAGAGGCTCTGACAAGTATGACCTAACCCCTGTGAGCCTCAGTTTCTTCATCTGTAAAAGGAGAACAACAGTAAAACAGTGGACAGAGTTCTGGAGGTGCAAGTAGGGGTGAGTCTGCAAGGTTGGCAAAGAGCAGAAAGAGGGCTTGTTATAATTGCTTCTGGTGTCTCTGGTCTCTTGGGTATGTCACTAACTTGTACCCCATAGACTGTATCCTACCCCAGTTTTTTTCAGTGGGACGGACTGCCCCTCTAAGGGGCCATGCCATGTTCCCTGGATATAATAGCTGTTTACTGATGGAGGGCAGTTACACTCCTGAAAGAGCAAGATGTCTTTTGAGCCACTGACCCACACTGCTAAATCTGGACCCCTATGCTCAACTACAGTGTAGATGGCAAAGTGTACTGGGAAGAGGAGAGCTGTCATTTCTGGAGAACTAGTTTTGGTGCCAGCTTCTGTCACCCACTAGTTTATGACACCATGCAGGTCTTGTGTCTCAGCAGTCTGTAAAATAAGTCGGTTGGGTAGGATGATTTCTGAGACTATTCAGCTTCAATGCCTTGAAAGGAAAATTCAACCCAGGCATAAATGTATAGGCCTTTAATCCATCTCTCTGGGAGGCTGAGGCAGGAGAATGGTATGTCAAAGGCCAGTTTGAATAACTTAGCAAGACGCTGTCTCAAAATAATATAAAAGGCCTAAGGCTATAGCTCGGTGGTAAACACTTGCCTAGTTTGAATGAGGTCCTAATACTAGGGAAAAATTAATTTATGGGCTCTGCAAATTCTAGAACCCAAAGACATACTAATAATAATAAATACATAAATACATACATAAATAATGTGTGGAGCTTGACTGTTGAGCAGGGGTAAGACTCACAATGTTAGAGCATACTGACCTCATGAAAAGCTTTGTAATACAGATCTTTGCTTTCCTGGTTCCTGTTTTTAGACCTGGATCAGGCCTGGAAATGCCGGCATTTGGGAGGGGGCAGAAGCAGGTGTTTTGTTTGTTTGTTTTTACAATTTCAGCCCACTACATGGTGAGACCTTGTCTAAACAACGAAAGACAAAACCCCTGGTTGGGGCCAATGAGATGGCCCAGTGGTTAACCTGAGTTTGAGCCCAGAACCGACATGTGGGTGGAAGAGAGCTAACAACACAAAGATTTCCACTTTGACTTGCGTGCATCCAAGTAATCATAGGACATGAGGTAGACAAAGAAGGGTCAAAAGTTCAAGATCATCATCAGCTACAGATAAAAACTTGAGGCCAGCCCTGTCTAACAAAAAGAAAAATCATAAGCGCCTGTAACAACACTGTCTCTGTTTCATGATAAAGGTGGGGAAAATGGGAAAAGATTTCAGAACTCCCAATATCAGGCCAGACAGACTGTACTAAAGATGCGTTTGGGACTCAGGTATTCTTAATCACTGGCAGTTAATCTTGTAAGTCAAATATAGACATCTGTCTTCCAGCCAGATTCATCAGGCTGAGTGGGACCATCACCAACACCAGGTATATTTCCATGAAACACAGGCCTCCCAGGCTACATACCTGTACAACCAGGTAGCTACAGAAAAGTTACACACAGTGAACCAAAGTTAAAGCATAGAATATCTCTTTGTGGGGCACTCTGCCGGGACCTGGTTCCAGAGGTAAAGCAAGGTGAACCTCAAGGTGAAGATGTGATCTTCACCCTTAATAGCCTTGTGCAGTTAATGAATGTTTTTTTTTTTTTTTCAGTTATATACTGTGTTGTGTTGAGGCAGAAGAGAAAATGAACAATACTGGCCCATCTCTGCTATCTCATTGGGTAACTCATCCTCAACCACAATAAGGAAGCCTGCCAAGAAATATGATTTTACCCTGATAAAACTCTAGACATGGGACTGGAGAGATGGCTCAGAGATTAAGAACACTAGCTGATCTTTCAGAAGTTCTGAGTTTAGGGCTGGAGAGATGACTCAGAGGTTTAAGAGCACTGGCTGCTCTTCCAGAGGTGCAGAGTTCAAACCCCAGCAACCACATCTGTAATCATATCGGTGCCCTCAGGCAGTATACATGATAAATAAATATTAAAAAAAAAAGAAGTTCTGAGTTTAAATCCATATGTAGGGATACATGTAGACAGAACACTATATACATTTTAAAAAAATTAAAAAAAAAAACCTCCAGACATATCAGGCTAGGAGAGAGTACTTCATACAAATAAGCACAATTTCAAAGGGCCTCCTGTGGCTCATCAATGGGGGACCCTGAGAGTTTTCCAACTCATTGTTCTGGGCTCCAGAGGGAAATCACAAATTCTTATTATATACAAATATGACCTAAAGACCAATGCAAAGCCACTCAGTCATCTGTTAAGTATTTGCTAAGGCCTGCCTCAAACCAGGCATTAGCTGTATACTAGGGATACAGGTAGTTCCTGGCTGGTTTAGGACTCACTATGTAGACCAGGCTAGCCTTGAACACAGATACATCTGCCTTTGCCTCCTAATTTAATCCCAAATGTTGTGATTAGGTCTGCCTTAGAGACCTTTATGTATTGACTCGTTTCATTCTTTTTCTTTTTTAAGATTTTATTATGTATACAACATTCTGTCTCCATATATATCTGCACACCAGAAGAGGGCACCAGATCTCGTTATAGATGGTTGTGAGCCACCATGTGGTTGCTGGGAATTGAAATCAGGACCTCTGAAGAGCAGCCAGTGCTGTTAACTCTGAGCATCTCTCCAGCCGGGCTTGTTTCATTCTTATAAGTAACCCTTTTTTGCATTTCACATAGGTGAAAACAGGCTGATTTTAGGAAGTTTAATCAAACAGCACAGCTGGTAATTGGCAGAATTTGGTTTCAGTATCATAAATTTCTAAAGTTTGAGTTCTTCCATCTTTTCAAGTTTTTATTTCAAAACAATTTATACCTACAAAAAAGTTGTACTATATTCCAGTAACTTTTCATATATTCTTCATCTGGACTCATCAGCTGTTAGACAAACTGTTTCATAGCACAACATCCAATTTATCTCCAACATACTGACAGGTATGCGAGAGAGTGAGTGCATGCATGCATGTATCTATGTATGTATGTATTCCGAGCTCTGTGATAGGAGCCATACAAACAGAAATTGGTAGAAATTCGTTACAG